GTGTTTTGTCTCCTCTTTCTGATATAAGAAAAAATGTGTGAGTGCACTGTAAGCTTCAGCGCCATCCGTTATTTCCACCACAACAGCAAGCTGAAGTGACTCTATCCACCGCGCGGAAGGTGGAAACCCTACTGCTTGCCCAGGGAACAATGCCGTAACAGTAATTGGGTCCAGGAATTGGGACCTGGCAGATGCAGACCGGCTCAGCAAAAGTGGCACATGGCTCAGAAGTCTTGCCAACTCACCTTACGGTTAAGAAGAAAGGCTTGGTAGGGCTAGAAAGTTGGAGCCCAAGGCCTGTTCGAAAGCCACGTGAGCTACCCTGCCAGTCTGATCCGTAGCGGCTATAACAAGAAGAAGAACAGCAGCAGCAGCAACAACAATAACAGCAACAGCAACAGCTACACCAGCAGCGGCAGCAGCAGCAGCAGCAGACCTGTCGTACTGCAAAACAGGTTTGGAGCCAGTCGGCAGCCGAGGATTTATTCGCTTTGGACACCTCGAGCTAGCGGGCAGAGGGCAGGGCAGAGGGGGCACAAGGCAGGGCACAGGGCAGGAGGCTCACGACATCTCCTGCCCTACCGAGAGGATAGCACACTCTCCGCTTACGTGGGCGTGGGGTTACCTCCAGTCGAGGATAATTCGTTTTCCGGGCTTGCCATCCGCAGAAGAACGGTTTTTTGGAGGGTGAAGCCTCAACCGGTGGATGGCCAACAGGGGCCTCTACTTCCTTCCTTAAGCCGGAGGTTGCCAGGAAGAGGTCCTTCAGAGGGCCACGGACGCGCTTGCCATACTGTATTTAGGGAAAGCACGTTGAGAGAACTTACAGGATTCAGCAAGATTCTGGAAGAGCTGCATGAGTAGCATCCCTGTGACTAGCTGTTCAAGGTTTCAAGGTTCATCGTGCCACAGTGACACCTCCAATGATCTTCGATGGTTTGACAAGCAAAAACAGAACAGAAAAACATGTGCTTGTTCAAGCTGCTTTCGTGCAGGTACGGAAAATCTGCACGGAGAGCGAAGGGGCGCGCCTTCCTTGCAGATGTAGTTGTTCTTGCCTTCCTTGGGCTGCGCCGTTGGATGAGATGGATGAGATGGCTGAGAACGATTCAAACGGGCATGTGCCAAGCGGGTAGCAGCATGGCAGGCGATGTGCATTTTTACACCCAATATCTCCACGATCCCGCTTATGGCCGGTGGCCTCAGAAAGAGCGCTGCCTCTCGCAAATGGTGATGGCAAAGGGACTTGGCGCCAGCGCAAGCTCACGTGAAAAGCGATGCAGGCTGTCAAATCTGACGGGGGTTTTGGTTATGCCGCCGCCTCATCTTCGAACGGAACTTTCAAGACTAATGTCTGCTTTCGCTCGCGGCCGCGCTAGACTTGGTGTTGAACCTAGGACTCGACAGATCTGGCGGCCGTCTACCATCGACTTTTTGTCATGAGGGCCGACTGGTGGCCCCGCCTGTTTCAACACTTCGTGCGCAATTACATTGCCGAACTGAGAAGCAGTTGTCCTCAGGGTCATTTATGTGACAGATCTTGGGCAGGCCAACCTCTCAGAATTGCTAGCTCCACACATGTGGTCTCTTTCTGCATGTCCATGTCCGAATTCTTGTCCCCCGCTCAGGAACAGCACTTTCACATGATTTTCGATGCAGCCAAACAGGCCAGCCTGACTCACTTCAGTTTCCATAGCTGCTGCTTTTGTTTGTGGTGTTGCCGGGGCATGCACGGATTTGGCAGCTAATGTCGCAGTCAACGTTTGTCTGATCCAGGCAGGATGGCACACTCCGCCACTGACGCGTTGCGATCACATGGGCTGTTTGCTCAGCACTGTGATGACTATCTTCCATGGCGTCATTCTGTCTTTGTCGTAGCCCACATGACCCTAGGCTTCGGTGTGATCCAGGGTGAGGACAAGAAGAAGTTCAAGACAAGGTACATGCAAACTCTCGCACTTCTTGGGCTGAGTCCTTCCGTGTGTGTACGTACCAAGGTCTGGAGAAACTGTGAAACTCAGTGATCTATTGGATGAGGCTCTTGCCGGGCTTATGCTACGTAATGTTACCTTCGGGCGGCTACACCATGTACGCACGCAGGACCTGGTTAGGACAGCATGTGTTGGGATGTGTTGTGTCAGGCTGTGCAACGTGCCCTCCAGGACACGGATCACCAGCCAACCAGTCCTGTTGCTCGTTTGCTTTGCGTACGCTCCCTGCCTTCGCACGTCGCAGGAAATTCAGCAAAGGGTTCAGGATCAGAAGAAGGATGGCGGTGAAGCTTTCCTTACGAACCCACAGGACAGCCGGCGACGCATGGTCATAGTGGTGAAGAATCGATTGTAGTTGCAGCAAGGCTCTCCAGGCTCAGGCAGAATCAGGCAGACAGACAGCAGCGCGCACGCAGTGCAAAGCACAGGAAGAAATCCATTGGACAGGAAGTGGCATTCTGATGCATGTATGTTTTTGCGCATGTTGCTGCAAACCTTTTTCAAAACGAACAGCAGGACACGCAGAGCTGATAGGCTTGTGAGGGGGTGCTGCTGAAGTTTGGTTGGCTTTTCAATGCTGTGAGCCAGTGCGCTGGAAGTCTAGTGAGTGATTCTAGCACTTCCTTTCGAAGGTTTGGGCTTATGCATTGGAATCCAAATCATTGGAGTGGCATAGCTCAGATGTAGAACCTCTTCATTTCCAGTAGCATTCTTCTCCGAGAGAGGACAAGCAGTGGGGATCAGTTTTGCTGCTAGTGACTTGTATGCTGCTGACAAGTTATAAGTTATAAATGGTTTTAGCAGCCCACGGCCATCAGATCACGGCGGTGAACACTCCAGGCTCACAAGGGGATGGCGTGCATGAGCAACCAGATGAGCCACTGTTGCTTTTCAAAGGGTCGCACGAGGTCCAAGCTCTGTAAACAGCTAGAGTATCGCATTGGTAGTTTGCGCGCCTCGTTTTAAGGCCTGGCCGGGCCGGGGCGGCTTTTTGTTTTTTTCAAGGAATTTATGGATGTGGTTGCTTGCATGTTTTTTAAATCATTTTTGCTTGCCTCCCGCGAAACAAGGGTGGCTGCGAAAATTCTGAGCCACTTCCAGGCATCTCCAGGCCCCGTTGGCAGCATACGACTCACACATCATCTCCAACACCCCAAACACCCAAACACACACAACTTCACCAGATCGGGAGAAACGGTGGTCCTGGAAATCTTTGGATGTGGCACTGACGGTCCTAGGCTGGGTCGTCAGCTTCCAAGGGCCTTCGGAAAACATAAGCCGCTGCAAACAGCAAGACGTGTTGGGAGGGCAAATGCCTCTCCTCCCCGGCATGGGTTCGTGTCCCGGTATGTCCCCGTGCATCTTGCAAGTAAGCTGCCCCGCCACCAGGAACAGCAAGAAGCCGCCGAAAAAATCGGAATGGCTGCCGTCCGCTATTTTGACATGAAGCAGCCTTTCACTTAGAGCTGAGTCGGAGTTTGGAGCCCGTGCTTGCCACAGCCTGTTCCACAGCAGGAACCGGACCACCAACTATGTCTTCAACTGGGATCGCATGCTCGATGCCAAGGCTTGCGACATTTTCATTTTCGGTGGATTGAACATGGTTGAACAATTAAGCATGCAGCGGGAGTACTAGACGCATATCCCCAAACATGCTACATGCAAGAACCTTTCAGCCAGGGCAATTCAGCAGTTTTCCTCTTCTATGCCTATGCGAGGATTCTGGCAGGGGATCCCAGCCTGCACTCTGACTCCAGTTTGGGTGTGCGTCGAATTGGGCACTAAGCAACTGCTCGTGGAACCGTGTCCCAGCGAAGCGCTGCACCCCTGAGTCCATCCAGCGCAAGTCTGGCATTGAGATGTCCAGCATCCCTGAAACATGTCTCGAGGCCGAGGGAGACTGTGTTTCAATCACAACGGCAGGATCAGCAGATCAGCTGGCAGGTGAAGCATGCGTCGGAGAGGGATCTTGCGCTCGAGTCCTCAGTCGCCCTTCCTTTCCCTTGGCCCTTTCGACGCAGCAGGGCTGAACTGGATCCAGGCTGAAGCTTCTTCAGTTTCCCGAAGTTATTGAGGCAGTAGTGAAGAGCTTCTCTTCCACGCTTGATTCGGCAGAAAGGGCAAGTGTCAGGCCATTCTGGCAGACCTACATCTGCATCACCTGACAGATTATTTGTGGGAGTGCCTCGGATGAACAGACCAGCTACTCGAAGTTTATGGCATGGCTCGCGAGTGATCTAAGTCTGTGACTGACATAATGACGAGCCTTGCCAGGTTGTGCAACACTCTTACGGCCTTCTACATGAAGTGCAAGGTCGTGATGCCGAAATCACGCCTTTGACATGTCACTGCCAGGGATGTGCAAGCATGGCTTCATGACTACTGTAGCTTGCCTTAAGTAACTATCGTGCTTGGCTGCTTGGCTGCGTGGGATTATCTAGGGGTCTGCTTTGACGGGAATGACTTGCAAATAAACCCAAAACACGCACCTAAGCGCACTTTAGCGACAAACGTCCAGAAAGAATGAATCTCCAACTAATTTGCTTTCAGTAGGCGCCAAGCTTTTTTTCTTCTTGGGATTGGCCCACTCCTTATGTGGATGTTTGAAGTACCAGCCCGAGAATCAAGACATTTCAAAACACTAGACCACCCATTCCTGTGACTGGCGGCACTGAGACGAAGGTCCAACGGTATCAAGATCCAGAAACAGCAACAGTTACAAGTTATGCAAACTTGAATCCAAGCCACCCCATTCCTGTCTCCGATTTGAGATGTCGCGGTGATATCAAGATCTCAAAACGACACCAGTTCCCTGGAATCCAATCGACATGGCCCTTTGATCGGCGACTGTGACGCAGATTCCACGCTCGCCTTGCCTTCCCCCGCCACCCCCACCAGACCGGGACACACCAGCAAAGGATCAGGGTTCGGCCTGCACCATCGCCCAATGGCCGCTACCCATGTTAATCGTTTCCCCCTGATGTTAAACGGGGGGCAGCCCCTCCCCCCCTCCCCCCAATAAAACTCGGAGAGTATTTTTGTTCTTGGGGGGGTATTTTTATTTGTACTGCCACTTTCGGGGGGTCGTGCTCTTGCTCCTGCTTCTGCTGCGTCTCTTGCTATTGCTCCTGCTCTTGCTCCTACTCCCGCTCTTGCTCTTGCTGATGGTTGCGCTTTTGCTCCTGCTCTTGCTCTTGCTCTAACTCCTGCTCTTGCTTTTGCTCTTGCTCTTAAGCCTCGAATCCCCCCTAATTGAGAAGAGGTTTTGGAGTGCAGGGATGATTTCGGGAGGATTCGCCCCAATGTGGTTTCATTATTAGGGGTGTGCTTAATAGAAGGGGCAAGCGATTACCTCCCCTCCCCTTGGTTGTGGAAAATGCGTGCGCTTTTGTATCTCCCCTTCTGGGTGTGGACAAAATGCATATGCTGCATGCTAGGTCGTTGGTGCATGCTTCGGTTCCCGTGGGGTGATTATGATTTGACTAACTGGGCGTTTGTTGCACTCCGGGTTTAGGCTGCTGCTCTTCGTGGCTCCCTCTCCCGCCATGGTCCATGGTTCAGGATGCCCCCCCCATGGGGTGGGGTGTGGGGTCCCTTTTCCCTCTGTGGTGTGGTTGTGCGGTTTTGGGGTTTAGAGTTTAGAGTTTAGCTTAAGCTTTTGAGGTTGGGGTTTTTTAGGGTTTAAAGTTAAAAGTTATAAGGCTTCGAGTCGACAAGAGCTTAGAGAGGGTTTGGGGTGTAGGT